CTTTGAGAACGAGTACACTAGAACTACTAGGTCCAATACTGTGGCCAATACATGTAGCTATTTAAATTGAATTTAAATAAAATGAAATTAAAAATTTAATTTGTTAGTCCACTAGCTCAGTATATTTCAACTGCTCAACAGTATCAATGTAAAAATGTCCAAACCTACAGAAAATTTTATGAGAGTTTATTTGAGACAAACTGAGGACATGCTTGGAAGCAAGATCTCAAAAATTCTCTGGAGAATGGCAGTTGGGTGGTTCTTTTTGTGTCTTTGGGATCAAAGGAGGGAAAGTAAAGAAGATTACACGAAATCCATTGCTCACAGGTTAAGGAGGGAGAAATCTCTGACAGGATAAAACAGAAAATGGAGAGAATATTTACAGGAAATAGGGATAGTATATGGGCAACAGGATCTGGTACTCCCTTGAGGATCGTCAGAGGGGTCTGGAAAGGAGGATTACTCTGACATTTCCAAGATTTGTTAATCAGATGAACAATGGACTTGCTTAAGGTTAAGATAAGCCTTTTACAAAGGAAGTTATAGGCCTGTGATATGACTATCCACCATGCCCGGCCCAGTCAGTAATTTATGTTCAGCTCACCCTGTGAGCTTACTTTCAGTCACTGAGCTTGTTAGGTTTACTTCATAGCTCCTTCTTCATCCACGTAGCCACATGTGGTAAGAAGCCATTGAATTGAACGGGACAGACAGAGAAAGTTGTCATCATTGCAGAAAGTTCTATGGGACAGCAGTGCTCTGGAACGTACACTGCGTGAAGATGGGTTTCTTTCCTGTTCTGCCCTCCCCCCCAGGGAGTTGAATGCTCATATTGATGTATCTGGTCTACTTGGAGCTTGCTCTAGTGTAACGAATAAGACAGATAATACATAACTGTTTTTAACATTTAAACTATATGTTAATGAAAACACTTTCTCATCCTCTTTAAATAAAACTGATTTACACTTTTTAATCTGAAACTGCCCTGGCATTAGGTTTTAATTGCTTTCTGGTCCTGGGGGCTTAGATGTGCTGCTAACTCCCCCATGTTTTGAGGCACCTATGAGCCGTGTGCTCCTCTGCTGCAGTCCTTGTGGCAACCTCAGGGGCTAGAATTCTTAGCAAATGTTTAACCGCTTTCAGTTTTGATTTCACTTGTGAATTTGAGTACGTATTTTTCCTAATCCAAGCATCTTTATTTTGTTTTCCCAATGGGTACATCTTTTTGTACTTTTTATTCTGGTAGGCAGTTTATGAGGGTGCTGTGGATCCCTGCCATACCTTTCATGATCTGCAGGTGAAGGCTGAAATGCTGTATCTGGAATTCTTGAGTTCGTAAATTTGTGACAGATTCAGTTTGTACAAATGAGACTTCATACCTTTTGTCACAGGTTGTAGTCTGCCTGGGGGCCTCTAGACAATTGAGCACATAGTCCTGGCCTTGAGTGTGGTGACTGCCCTCCGTAGAGGCTGTGACAGGAAGCAGAGCAAAAGGAAGACCAATACATAACTTTTTTTTCCCCCCATCAGATGGCTAGTTAGTTCTCCCAATAGCAATTCCTTAGGGTGGTTGGTGACTCGGGCTATGAAAGAATTCACAAAGAGAAGTGTAAACAATAAAGTTTTAATCCACTCTCCAAGAAAGGAGAGGGGCGTGGTGGGGAGAGATGCACCAGCGTTGAGGGGTGGGAGCTTTGAGCTTTTATTGGATTGAAAAAGGGTGGAGGGTGGCTGCTGTGTGACCCCCGGGCTGTTGGGGTGTTGTAAGCGAGGCTGCAGTTTGTTCCAGTGTTTTCTTCTGCCTGTGGCTATAGAGAGTGGTTAGTTCTGTTCTGGCTTTCCAGTAATTTCCATTCCTGGGGACAAGCTCAAAAGAGTACAATTGCAGTCATGTTTAACAAGGTCACAGGCCTGCTCAGCAAATGGCGCCACCATAGCAAATGGCGCTGGCTTTACCCTTTCACAGTTGTTGAAAATTTAATTATTTCCCAGAAATTTGAAATACCATTATTATATGCAGTGTTAAATTCCCACCTGTTTTTGTGTCTGTTATAGAACTTTTGGGTCTATAGTATTTATCTTTCTGGGCATAGAAATATTTTCAAGACAAAATTGACTTCTAGAATTATCAAATAAACATTTGAAACTAGAATTATAGAATGAGAGAATAAAGTCATAAAGAAGTTCTGTGATTATTACCTGTGTTTCGAAGAAGCATTTTTATTAGAAAACATCCAGGTAGTGTTGAGTTCAATCATGATATAGCTCTTACCAGTATGAAACCTTTTTGCCATAAAATCAGGTATGGTGTGCAATGGTTTGTTGATGTAAGAAATATCCAAACCTGTGGAAGATTTTTATAGGAGTTTATTTAAGCCAAAACTGGTGATAGTTGCTGGGAGGCAAGATTTCAAATGCTATGGAAAATTGATAGTTCTTCAGTTTCTTTTATACATATGAAGTTAAGGAGGGAACCCAAGGCAGATTGCATGAAGGTGGGAGAAAGTAAGGTAGGGGTTAGGTTACAGGATAATGTGCTCTCTGCTGGGGGTACTTATGCTTATTTCAAAGGTGGATTAACCTAGATGCATAAAAGCAATGGACAGGGCTTGCTTAAAGCAAAGATAAACCTTTTACTACAAAGTTATATGTCTGGGGCATGGCTACCTACCATGACCTGCCCATAAGAACCTATGATCAGATCACCCTGTGAGGTAATATTCCATAGAACACCATTTTTATCCACAGATAATAGATGACCAAATCAAGTGAGGGGATAGGCCATTTTTAAAATATTCTTGGCCCATTATCCACTCCATCTATTAAATTAGAAAATTAATATATCACAGATAAAAAATACAGTATTTTATTAAGGCATATCAGAAGGGTTAAGTAAAAGTATATGAGTTAAATTGTTCTTACCTTTACAGATGGAAAATATATATTCTCCTTAAATGTTTATGTGTTTGTACATAAAGGGATATAAAATGATGGCACAAAAAATAGTGGTTAACAAAACAAAATAGAACTTTACACCAATAACTACTTTTGTCCTATTAACTTACTGCGATTTCTAAAGAACTGAACATTTGGGTTTTTAAATTCTAAAGAACTATACATTTAAGAAGTGTGTTTGAAATGTAAACTTTAGTATTTTTATATGTGTTACTTGGCACACATATATAGAAAGGAAGAGAATTACAATCTGAACACACCGCCATTTACTCATAGACAACAGTGGACAGCGCTCCATTTGGTTGGCAGTGAAAGTTTTTTCTTACTGCCTATAATTCTATTGTATTTACCTAGACATTGCCTAATCCTTCTTAACCTTACTCACTATCAGAAAAAGGACATACCATTTCCAAGTGTAGAATTGGTGTGTAACATCAAATTGCTCACATACAGTAGTGTGGTAGTATGTCACCAAAATAATTCCATTATGGTAGTCTCCCTTTAGGTGCAACTTAGTGTGTACGATCCAAAACCAAAATGTGGGCAATTATAAACAAATTTATGTATGAGCATACTACATCAAGAAAAGGAATAAAACTTCTAAATATTTTTCTGAAATCATCTAATAAAGACATAGGAAACATATTCTGAGGACTGGATACTTATTCTAGAGAACATTTTTTGCTGTGGGACTTTGAGTCTTTTATTTATTTTTCTTGATATATGTGTAATAGGGTTCTACTTGTATGTGGGGGAGGAGAAGGAAGGCGAGGGTACCATTGTAAATCGTACCTCTTTATCCTATGGACATTGAAATGGCCTAAGATTGGACATCAACCACAAAAGGTAGGGAGCTGAACACAGGGGATGGTTTGAGAATCTTTATGATGTGTTTTGACTTCAGCACTACCCAGTGTCAGACAACTATCCTTCCTCAGCAGGAGACTGCTTAAGAGCTGACAATTAAGAAAGACTCAGAGATCACATTGTTCTATTGACAGTGTGAATGAAAGCACAAGTCTGTGCTAATAACTGGACTCTATGAAAAGGGAAGCCAAAAACTGAGAATGTCTCTGGATCTCAAGTTGCGTGTACAATTTCCTATAGAAATAGATTTTGCATTACCATTAGCGTTTAGAATTTAATCACTTTTTGAAATTTTCTCATGTATGTAATTGATTTCTTTTTTATTGTTTAGCACAAGAGCCCATAAACTGTCAGTCAAGGGCCAGATAGTAAATATAATTAGCCTTTGTGGGCCATGCAGTCTCAGTCATGTTCTGTTCAAATCTCATTGTAACACAAAAGCAGCCCTAGATATTATGTAAACACTTGAGCATGACTGTATTCTAATAAAACTTTATTTTAAAAAAACAGGTCATGGGCCCTCTTTGACCTACAGATGATAGTTTGCTCACACTTGGTCTAGTCCATCTGGTAGAGTATTAGATCGATGGGAGCAGGTATGCCACACATTTGTGCTGTGTGTCTAATGCCTAGGAAATATTAAATATGTTTGAATGAATTAAGAAATTTGAGCTACACTTTTCTTTGGGATTATGTATGCTTACCCATGTAGACATTTACTATGCTTTTCAAAGTGCAAATGGTGGTGGCTCTTCTTAATGCTTTATTCTTATCAGAACTTTGGGTTATAATCAATTTGTAACTAAAGATTGTTAGTATTTTAAATAATATTGTGAAGGAGCATCTGCTAACCTAAGTGACTGTTCTTGGGTAAGTAAAGGACTTTTCCATCTGAAATTTATAAGCTGAAGACAATTTGGCAGATAAAATATAGATGATTTTAGAACCAACACTGGGGTCCAAGCTATTTTGACTACTACTCAGGACATTTTAAAAACTATAATTTTGTCTGCTTAAATATAAGTAGTTAGATTGTTAAGCTGCTTTCACACTTTCCAATTTGTTGCCTTGTTTTATTATATATATTGAAAACAAGAGGCCCTAAGAAAAATGCATGAAACAGTAACTTTGGCAGTTGATGAAACTGTGTTATGATCAGCATTGCTCTTGTTTTACAGTAAACCTATGATGGATTTGTTGATATTCCTCTGTGCCCAGTATCACTTGAACCCATCAAGTTACACAATTGATCTGCTGTCAGCTGAAAAGAAGCCCATTAAATTTAAGCCAAACACACCAGTAGGGATGTTGGAGGTGGAGAAAGTAATTTTAAAGCCAAAAATTTTGGATAAGAAAAAACCTACACCTATAATACCAGAGGTAAGAATTTCACTGTAGATTTTGATATCTTATGGCTACAATACTAAGTTGATTTTCAGTCCATTATAAATAAAATATAAATTGCCTTTCCTGGTCAAATTTCAGGTGAATATGGCTGTCATGTTTCCCTAGACCACTTTGTTTAGGATTCAGTTGGTTATTGATCCTTGGGTTAAGTAGAATTCAGGGAATACTTTAGAGTTTAGATGCTCTAAAGTGATCTATATGACAGTATTAGAATCTGACAATTATGAATATCTGTATTTTAAGCTACTCTTTTAAAAAGTATTTTATACATCAAGAAAGGTTTTAGAACCTTTTAATGAAAACTCATTTGGGTCTCTCCCTCCCTTTCTCACCCCTCACCCCGCCCCCCGCATCCCTTCTTCCTTTAGGCATGTCTCTGCTCTCTCTCTCCTAGGCTCCAAGGGCCCTTCTTTTGCCTCTGTAACTTGTTTCCTGAGTCCACGCATCCCAGCTGGCTCACTTCTTCCATGGCTCACTACTTCTACCTCTGTGATTTTCAAAGTAAACTTAAAAGATTTTATTTAAGAATTTATTAAAATAACTTTTTGGCTTCATTTACTTGGTAAGCGGTGGCTGTAACGTACTGAATTTTACATTATTGTTCATTTGAGCTTTGCAATGGCTCAGTTTTCTGAAATGTATGTATTTTAAGCAAAAACTTCTAACCATAATATTCAAGTGTCATCAATTCTTGATATAACTGGTTTTATTCCATAAGCAATAGAAGTACAAGCTTATGGGTTTCAAGAAATAGTCTTTCATCAGGAACAACAACAACCATTTAAAACTTTAGAAAATATATAGAGGTTTATATATTAATAGTTCCTTGACAAATGAGTATATATATTCTCATATTTTCTTCATATTCTTAAAAAACTGTTTATAAAGAAAGTTAATATTTTTATAATCCTAAAACATACTTGCTTTCTTCAATATGTGATTAACTATTAAATATTAATTAGGGTAGTGGATTATATATCTAGGTATGTGGACTACTTAGAAATAGCATTTATGCTATAACATGGAATCATATGTGGTGTTTCAGTTTTATGAATTCATATTAAGCTTTGAGGATCTGCAATCTGTAGATTTCACTTAGCATGGTCCCATGTTTCAAAGTTCTGTTTATACTCAGGATTTAATTCAGTTATATTAAAATGATAAAATGCTTAAAAATCTCAGTAATTTTGCATTGTAGCATTAAATATCTAAATTAGGAACATTTTAATATTTTTTACTAATATGTTAAAATTAGCCAAAATAGTAGTAATATAGTCACAACAATAGATAGTCATAATAGCTAATGTTTTTTATTGATAATTTACTATGTGCGAGGTGCTATGCTCTTATATGTATTATCTCACTTAACTTATTTCAAATGGAGAGAAGTTAAAAATTTTTAGTGTTTTAACCAAAATACTACTTTTTTATTGAGACAACTAAAAACTATTAAAAGATAATATTCCTCAAATAAAAGATAGAATAAAACATGCATAACCCTGTATTATGTATTTGTTAATTTGAAAGTAAATATTTTAAAGAACAAAAAATATCTATTATTATTTTTGGATTTAAATCTACTTAATACTTTACAAGGGTTGTGAATTTAATCTAGATTATTTAATAAGCAAACTGTTTCTAAGACTCTGATTTGGATTTAGGAATAATATTAATCAGAATTAGGTTTATTTCGGCAAATTATGGTATAACTATGGCTTTAATCTCTGTTTCAGAAAACTGTGAGAGTTGTGATCAATTTTAAGAAAACACAGAAGACAATAGTGAGAGTTAACCCGCATGCATCACTTCAAGAACTTGCCCCCATTATATGCAGCAAATGTGAGTTTGATCCATTACATACCCTGTTATTGAAGGATTATCAGTCTCAAGAGCCCCTCGACTTGACAAAATCTCTTAATGACCTGGGACTAAGAGAATTATATGCCATGGATGTCAGCAAAGGTAAGGCTCATTTTACTCATTTGACAGGATGCGCATATGGAAGGTTGGGCAAACGTAGGTTTACAGTTGTGAGTACCTGAAACACAATTTATTCTTGCATTATTATTTAATTATTGTATTATTTTTCATACAAACAACCATAAACCTACTTTTGCCAAACCCTGTATGTATATATGTGTGTATATTGTGTTTATATATAGTTTTTGTCAAGTTCATAATGGCACTTGAATGGATCCTGTAGATCGAAGTCAGTACATGGCATTAGAAATAAGAAAACTAAATATAATATAATTTTCAGTTATTGAAATTGAAATAAAAACTTGCCTCTTTTAGCTGTCATCACATTTTACACATTTCCATCTACCTATGAATATTTTTTTTGGTGGAATTTAACTTAATTCTTTGTGGCTTTGGTATTTAAACAGAAAATACAAATTTACTTCTAATTTCATTGTTGTTCTAATCAAGTGTGAATTACTGTAGACTTACTATGATTTTGTCTGCATCTTAACTATCATTTAAGTTTGGAAGTTTCTTGCTAAATTTTTTCTAATGTCAGCACCTAAAACCAACTGGCTTATGAAATGAATCAGTTTAATTTCAAAAGCTTTCTAAATAGAAATAGTTTGCAGTATTAATCTATATAAAAATTTAGTATATTAAAATTTGGAGATCTTAGATAATGTTGGTTTTCATGATGTCTAATAGAGAAATGAAAGCTTAGTTGTTTAATATGAATCTGTTTTATTAGGAGAAATAAAAAGTCTAATAAAGGAGATGACTACATCTTCTGTGCTTAGAGAAGTTCAAACTTTATCCTGAGATCGAGGCTTTATGTAAATCTGTAGACAACTATTTCAACTCAGTGATGTTATACACTTAAACAAACATCATCTTTAAGTCAATTTACCCTCTTTTACCCCCTCCTCTGTAGCCACTTCTGTTACTGCCTTCAATAAATCATCTTTACAAGGTAAGACATATGAATCAGTAGAAACAAATTATAACATAAAATCTCCTTTTCTGTTGGGTAAATTGAAAATAAGCTTCTAATTTTACCTGTTTTCTTAATATCACTAATGTGTACAAGATTTTAATTTAGACAATCTTAGTGTTTTATTTCCTGAAAAATAATTTATAAGGCCAGGCCCTCCTTGATTCTGAACTTTAATACAATAATTACATTTCAATAATTGTTTTAAAATTAATATTAACCTAAGATGTGAAAATATACTCTTGATTCTTAGACAAGAAAAAAATGATTTTGCTAGGATCTTTATTGAGTACAAATGCTGGTAGTTTGGTGGTACTGTGAAAAGAGCTTAGATTATTTTTATTGAACTATTATTCATAATAAACAGGATACATTTATCATAGGAAATTTTTGCAACCATTAAGTTGTTTGTGAATATTCTATAATAACTTGAAGAATGGCTTATACCAAAATGAGCTTTTAAAGCATTTAAATATGTTTAATTCAGTTGTAAAAAACTATTACATAAAATTTCTGAAAGTAAGTACATAAAAAATTTTTATAGTGGTTACCTTTGGGTGTTAGGGCCATGGGTTACTTTTCATCCTTTTTTTATTTATATTACAAAATTTTATAATTGGAATGTATTACTTTCATAGTGCAAACTTTATTAAAAATAGCCAATAATAATAAAGTCTGGAAATCTTCTTCCTTCATTAAAAAGGGATAAGCTGAGATAGTTGAGTACTTTAATAATTACCACCCTACTAAAAACACACACACAATAAACTGTACACATTGTTTGTTATTAGAATTTTTTTTTCCCACTTTCAATTTTTCCAGAGCACCATGAGCCTCCCTATTCCAAGAATTAAGCCCACATAGATAATAGCATGATTATTTATTATTAGTGCCTGTTGTAAATATGAACCTGGTCAAAGGAGCTGAAATTTCTTAAGTATATACTGGTTAATCACAGGGCAGGCATTTTAATTGACATAACATGAGATGTCAAGCTCATTTGACAAGTAGATAGGGCAAACAGCTTTATCTCTCTGGATCTAACCTTCTACTTTCATCATAATAAAGAAACTGGAAAAAGTTGTCTTTGCTGGTCTTTCTAACTACAATATTCCATTACTTGTACTTCACATTTGCTCCTAACTTTGCCATTTTCCATGTACATAACCCAAAGTGAATTCCATCATTTTGTTGGCTCATTTTGAAGGTATTGAATGCATTGACTTCTAATACCTCTTCCAGCCAAAAATGTATGTGATTTATTCAGAGTATTAAATGTTACGAACATAATCATGAGACAATAGAATAGGAAAATTAAGAAAGCTGTTATTATAGTGTCAGAATTGACAAGGCCAGTCTAAGTGCTGTAAATATCCCCATCTCCTAATTTTATCTTATGTTATCAGGAGGCTTAGAACTTTGCATGCCATTAGTTATAGCCTCTCAACTGGAAACAAAAAATAATAGTATTTGAGTTGCTTTCTAAGTAAGCTGAAGCCCTTCTTTGTCTTAGTTCTTAACTCTAATTTGCAGTGATCCCTGACATTGAGCATTAAGTGAAGACTTAGGGGTTAACTGGTATAGAGGATGAATGGGCATCTGGAAATTACTTTTCCAAAAATAACTATATGAAATAATCTGGTTATATTTATTGCACTGCACCAGCATGTGAATTTTCCATCTGCTACTCCAACTAAATTTAATTGTATGTCTACATACAATTAGTGGAGGATTCTATCTTAAAAGGAAATAGTAGCACTTCTTTTTAAAAAGTTAAGGGTATTATAAGTCATCTTTAAGTGGATCAGTTTCAGTTGTACCACTTAATGTCCATGTATCTTGGTGTAAGTCATTCAAACTCTCTAGTCACCGAGGTCCTCAGATATGTAATGGGATGATACCACCCACTTCTATTTCTTTACATCCTCAAACCTAGGAAAAAAGCTCAGAATGGTAACTTATGATAGTCCCTAACAGAATTGTTCCAAGAAATAAATTAGACATGTAAAAAATCATTAACCATAATGTGCTATCCACATGTTGACTATTATTAGTTGTTAGCATTGTCAATAAACTCATTGTACCAAATTCATACTGCTTGTTTAAGATTTGCAGCATCCGATTTAAAGTTTTATTTTGTGAAATATAGTTTTCCTTTAATATGTTATTAAGGCATATTGCATTAATTTAGTTATTGGCATTAACTAGATTTGCTTTCCTGGGATAGCCCCTACACTGTCATAATGTAATTTTTTTAACATTCTTTTTCAGTAAAAATACTATACATTTACCCCTAAATGATAAGTATGTGTTTAAGATATAAATTTATTTCAGACTACATATTTCCCCCTAACTACTGCTTTAGCTATATCCCACCAGATTTTATATAGAGTCCTTTGTTTCCTATGTCACTGAAATTATACTGTGATTTACCATAAAACCCAGTGTTTCTTACGAGAAATGTTTTTAAAAATTTACAGATTCCCACCCCTTATTTCTCTATTTTTTTTAAATTTCAATTTATGTATTGAGTAAACAAGGTCATTTGTCTTACAGAGTCTCCCACTTTCAGAATGTTGCTAATTGCATCCTGTGATACCACTGAGCATGTTTCTTTATCATATCTCCTATAAATTGATCGTTAAACCTAGAATCTTGATCAGACCTGCTGAGATATTTTTGGCAAGAATCTTCATAGGTGGTATTGTGTACTTCAATTAGCAGACATATAATGACAAGTTATCTTTTTTGATGTTAGCCATAGAAAATTATTACCTATATTTTAGTCAATTAGGAGTTGAAAAATCGTCACAATCTGTTGCAAACTTTCCTTAATTATTAGTTGAGATATTTTTAAGAAAGTAAATTTCCCCATGTCTGCTCTCTTTCTATCTAGGTAGAATTCATGAAGAAAAGGCAAGAAAGTGTGATTCTTACCCTTCATTAGTTTTTAAAATAATGGTTCCCTAGCATTACACAAAGATGAAGGATAAGGATCAGTTACTTTGTTAGTATGGCTATGAGTGCATGGAATTATGCATGTGGTATGTTTTACTTACTGAGTTACTCTTAAGATACCCAGATTGTCTAGACTTTTGCCAGTAGGAACCATATGAGATTGATTGGTTCTTTTAAAACCAGCGTAGTAAATTTTGATTGCTTTCTCTCTGATATGACGAGTTATTCCAGGAGCAGCTTATTCATTCTTCGATAGTGACAAAGAATCAACGATTCTTAAGCAATCCGAGTTCCTTTTAGTGGGAAATGGTAGAAAGGCAATCTGGACCAGGGTGACTCAGCAATACTGGGTTTGTCATTGTTTGGAGGTCCTTTCATTTGACATTAGGAAATACATTTTCGAAAATGAAGTATTACATATGCAACCTTGAGGTTCAACATTTGCCGTTCTGATAAAGTGTGATTTCCCAATTTCTGCGCTATTAACATCTAGGGTCAGATAATTCTTTGTTGTTGAGGGGCTGTCTTGGACGCTGTAGTATGTTTAGGAGCATCACTGGCCTCTACCCAGCAGATACCAATAACACATTCTCCTCCCCCACCCCCAGGGGTAACAACCAAAATTGTCCCCAGCACTGTCAGATGTTCTCCGGGGTAGGGGTGTGGGGAGATCATCCCCAGTGGAGAACCACTGGGATAAACAAATATTGTTCATGAATTATATAACAAGGTACTAAGTAGCTATAATTAATCATGTTTGGAACAGAAAATATTGTATAGTTTACCTCTGACACAAAAATATATTCAAAATAAACAAAGGGAAAAACTGAATATAGCAGTTTCATATTTCATTTAATTCAAAGATTTTTACTTTGAATGTTGGTAATGATAGAACACAAATTTTGAGTCACAAAGAATTGAGTTTGTCAGAGCTCTGTAATTTCTTCATTATTGGTCCCAAGCTAAGTATCTTAGTTTCTCTAAGCTTCAGTTTCCTCTGTTGTGAAGTAGGAGCAATACTACTAAATTTACCTGTTGCTTTGAGAATTAAATAAGATACAAGGTGCTTAGCAGGGTACATGGTTCATAGTAGATCATAATTAGTAGCTTTTATAACTACGTAAAATTTTCAAAGGAAAGAAATTGAGAGAAACTTGGAGCTGAAGGGGTGCTTTTTTTCTCTTTTAGACTCCTGCCAAATATCACAAAATTTAGACATTATGAAGGAGAAAGAAAATAAAGGGTTTTTTGGCTTTTTTCAACGCAGTAAGAAAAAGCGAGATCAGGTAAGTATTTCCTTATTTATCATTTTATAAGAGCCTTTTAATCTGCGTTTAATCGTATGTGCTGTTTATCTTGAATTTACCTGTAGATTTTGCCTTTTCATTCTTTATTAGACTGCCAGTGCCCCAGCAACCCCTCTAGTGAGTAATAATCGCCCGACTTTTACAAGGTCCAATACCATTTCCAAAACATACATTTCAAACACCCTGCCATCGGATGCGCCCAAGAAGAGGCGGGCTCCGCTGCCTCCGATGACAGCATCTCAGAGTGTCCCCCAGAACCTGGCTCACATCCAGGAGAGGTCAACTTCTTGTGTAGTGAAATCCGCGAGTGTGGATGAAACCGATAAGGTGCGTAATTTTGTTTTCTTTTGTTTTAGGATAGGGCCCGGAACCTTACCTAACTTGTCTTTTTTCACATAGGATACTAATTAGGTTAGTAATAGTTACTGATATGTAGTAAGGTGAATAAATAGTTACTAAGGTTGATACTGGGAGGAGATCTGCTATGTACGTACAGTTCTGTGATGCAGTAAAGAATAAATATATTGATTTTAAGTAGCTTTCACATTCAAGCAAATAAATCATCCATAAACCTTAAAGTCCTGGTGTATTAAGGCCTCACCGGAGGATCTTGCTTGTATATATTAGGAATGGAAATACTTATTTTTGAACAACAGGGGGTTTTGTTTTGTTTTGTTTATTTTTTAACAGCAACACAGTCCTTGTGTCACTTTCATGATTTTCTGACTAGATATACTTGTATGTTTTTGACGTTACTCAAAGAGTCTTGGGGGGAGATAGATATACTGGTGTCTGCCTAGTACATAGCTACTCTATAATTTATTTTAAATGTCTTTACATAAATTATATTGCAGTTACTTTTATATATTTTTGTGTTCAAAGCACTGTTCTAAGTGTACCTTTTCCCCAAACTTTCTTATTATTGCTCCGCTTTTATCCCAGTTTTTCCTGGATTATGCTGTTTTGTGGAAATCCATTTGCAAAACTACTTTTCATGCCCATAAAATCTGTATTTTCCTTGCTTTATTCATGAAAACTATAAGTGAAATTTTAAATAAATTGAACACCAGGTCATATATTTGTTGCTTTTAATCAGATAAATGATTTGAGTAAATTTAATAGATTTCATTTTGAGATATTTGAAATGCTGAGATGCTTTCTTATAAGAGGTGAAGGGTTTGATCCCTCCCTCGGAGCTTAGTAAACTCAATGCTCAGGTTGGGAAATTTTACTTTTCCCAACAAACTAATGAATATTTCTGTGTTTCCTTAACTTAAAAAAAGATAACTGTAGATTTTAATTGTAATTTATCATATTTATCTTTAGGAAAATAAATAGCTACTATGATAGAAACAAAATATGCTTTAACTCAGTAGTTATTTGGAAAGTCACCTAGTAAGCTATTTTTTTTTTTATTTCTATGAAGCTTCTCTTATCTAATTAGGTTGTGGTAGAAAATCTCATCTTACAAATCAGAAGGATAATTCTTTTTTCAAATGATAAAACCACTTACAAGTTTTCCAGGGTGACTACTTGGTAGTTGGGTGAAGTGTTCACAGAAGAGATGATTCTTGTGTTCAGTCTTAAAATATGTGTGGAAGTGCATTGGTCAGTGAAGAGAAACCACATTCAACGATGCAAAATATGGCATGCCTGGGGGTGAGCAAGAAACAGACTGAAACTCAGTGAGCTAAGCAGAGGCCAAGTCAGGGTTGCTAAAGACTTCATTTTTATGGCTTCACAGTAAGTCCTAACGTGACTTACTATTTAAAAGGTAGCATTGTCAGGATTGTTTTCCATTTTTAATTACCAGAAAACTGTCATAGGAGTATAACTTAAAATACTCTTGAGTAACTACCAAAGTCTGTCTTTTTCTTCATAGAGAAAGAAGCCTTAGCCAGTACTCACAAATCTTTATTCCAGCTGTCCTCATCCAATCTATTTCAGTAAACTTTCTTTGTGGTTGTATCCCAAAGAGGTCTACGCTGTCTTTCCAATAGCCTGTTTCTTAAAATTCTAGGCCATGCTACCAGTAATCTCACCAAAAACTATTTCTTTTGATTCACACCCTCCGCTCTGTGACCAGTTGATGTCCCTATGTTAAGCAATCTTTATTTTTGTTTTTAGTGTATTGCCTTTGGCAAACTAGACATCTTTATACAATTTCCTAATTAATTTTTTCTTTTGATCTGGCCATCTGGCTAGTTCTTTGATGTATTGTTTATTAGGACCCAGGATTATTTGTTTTTCCCTAGAGGAGTTGAACCATTTTTTATTTATTCATTATAAAAGTTCTTAACGATTAAGCTATGGTTCTGTTTGTGAATGTGTCCACGTGCACGTGTATGTTCATGTGAATTCATGCCTTCCTAGGCATCGCAGCACTTATTTCTTCAACTTCTTGGCTATATTAGATTTAACAGATGAGCCCTTGGTCTTGATTTTTCTTTCTTCTCTGGTTCTGATTTTCTTCTGATAGCTCAGCTCGCTTGCTCACTCTCCGTCTCTCTCTCTCTCTCTCTCTCTTCTTTTTTTTTGACACTACTACCTTTACCCATTTTCTAAATTTGGAAGCACCTGAATCCGTGGTATTAGCCTATATTTACTATTTTAGAGAAAACATCTGTTCTTTGTTGAGCTATTAATTTAATCATTTGAATAATGCCCCCCCCAAAAGATATGTCCCAGTCCTAACTCCCAGTACCTTGTGACTGTGACCTTATTTAAACATAGTTTTTGCAGATTTAATCAAGTAGTTAGAGATGAGGTCATCTTGGATTTAGGTTGGGCCCAAATCCAATGACTAGCATCCTAATAAGAAGAGACACAGGCACAGAGACAGAAAAGAGAATGCGATGATGTGACCGTGGAGGCAGATATTGGAGTTTTGATACCACAAACCAGAGAATGCCAGGAGCCACCAGAAGCTGGGAAAGGCATGGAAGGATCCTCCCGTAATGCTTTCAGAGGGTTATGGCCCAGCCAACACCTTGATTTCAGACTTGTGGCTTCCAGAGCTTTGAAAGAATAAACCTTTGTTCTTTTAAGCCACCCAGTTATGTTAATTAGTTATCGCAGCCCCAAGAAACTAATACATCAATTTTGTAATTCTAATCCCAATGTATTTCCAGTTGTAGTTCAAACTCATGATTGCTTATTGACTCATCACTACCTGAAAATCAGCATTTTTGAAATCAAACTCACTTTTTTCCTCCGATATTGAAAAGCTCAAGATCACCTTTGATGTTTCTCTCTCTTTTTACATCCAGTTAGTGAACACTCCTTCAGTCTTCATAACGTCTCCTTGTCCCTTACTTTCATTCTCTGTCCTGAAGTCATATCCAAGGGAAATCCAGGGCAGAAACTACTACTTAACTTATCTCCCCATTCCTTGTCTTCATTATAAAAAGAATGTGGCAAGTTGCTACATTTATGTTCTGTAATTAGCACTTCCCCCTTCAGAGACTTTGGATAGCTGGCCATTTACTGTTACTTTCTGGGCATTCAGGATCCTCTACAATTGATCATAATTTTGAGGGGAGGGTTTTTCTTTTCTTTTCCTTTGTTGGTTTTTCTTTCCTTTCTTTCTTTGCAGCTTTATTGACAAATAAAATTGTAAGATATTTAAAATGTACATCGTGGTGATTTGAAATATGTATACATTGTGAAGGACTTCCTACCATCTAATTAATTAACACATCCATCACCTCACTTCTCTGCTGTGAGAGATCACCGGTAAGAGTGAGAGAGAGAATTTAAGTCCTACTCTTGTAGCAAATTTCATTATGTAACAGTGTTATCAGCTATAGTCACCATGTTTTACATTAGATCCTCAGATCTATTCATCTTACAGCTGAGTTTGTCCCATTTTACCAGCCTTTCCCTATTTCCTTCACCCCCCCAGCAACCTTTTCCATTCTCTTTTTCTATGAGTTTGATTTTTTTAGATTCCACATATAAGTGATACCATGCAGATTTGTCTCTCTCTGTCTGGCTTGTTTCATTTTGTACTGTCCTCAAGCTCTGTCCATGTTGTCACAAATGGCAGGATTTTCTTCTTTCTCATGGCTAAATAATATTCCATTGTGTATGTATTTATATGTATGTATACATATGTATGTATTTATGTATATACATATAGCTGTGTATATATCTATATATGTGTATATGTGTATATATACACATACACATCTATATGTGTGTATATATATTCACGTTGTCTTTATGTATTTATCCATAAATGGACACTCAGGTTGTTTCCCATGTATTAGCTGTTACTAATAGCTAATGCTATGCTGCATTAAACATGGAAGCGCTGGTATCTCTTCAGTATCCCTTTCTCATTTTCTTTGGATACACACCCAGAAGTGAGATATCTGGATCATATCAAAATTCTGTTTTGAATTATTTGAGAAACCTCCATACAGTTTTCTACAGTGGCTGCACCAATTTACATTCCCCCAGCACTGACATGGGCTCCTTTTTTTCTTAGCATCACTCATCTCTTCTTTAAAAAAAGGATAGTTTAAAATTTTTTTCAATTACAGTTAACATACAATATTATATTAGTTTCAGGTGTACAACATAGTGATTAGACATTTATATAACTTATGAAATGATCACCCCAATAAGTCTAGTATCCATCTGACACCATATATCATCATTAAAATATCATTGACTATATTCCCTCTGCTGTACTTTAATCCCTGTGACTTAACAGGTGGAAGGTGCTATTGTGGTTTTGATTTGCATTTCCTTAATGATTAATGGTATTGAACACTTTTTCATGTACCTGTTGGCCATTTTTGTATATCTTCTTTGGAAAAATTTCAATTCCATTCCTCTGCCCATTTTTAATTGCACCGTTTGTTTTGCTATTGAATTATATGAGTTCTTTATATATTTTGGACATTAACCCTTTATCAAATATATGCTTTGCAAATATTTCCTCCCTTTCTGTAGGTTGTCTCTTCATTTTGTTAGTGGTTTCTGTTGCTGTGCAGAATCACAGTTTTATTTTTAAACTTTCTCATAATTTTCAGTATGCTTTCAACTCTTCCTGGAGGATTTGACTTGTCATTCATGCAAAATCTAGTTTTCTATCCTTTCTGAATAAAGTGACCCCAACCTCCATCTCTTTATTCCTACTCACCCATTCAAATTATACCTGTTCTTTTACCTGCTTCATGGAGAATTTTCTAAAGATTCCATCACAGAGTGATGTTACTCTCTCTGAATCTGTCTCTCTTCTGCCTTTTCTTGATCTTAATATATGAATGTGTGTGCAGGTATTATATTTATATGATACATATTTATAAAGAAAAAAA